CGACATTGGTGACGAGGTCAACAAGGCTGCCGGCCGCGTCGCCAGCATGGTTCCGTTGACCCGTGATCACGACAGACTTGGAACATCACAGGCACCCGGGCGGCCATATGACGCCAGGCCCGAGAGATGGCGGGGTTCCGTCCACCTGCACCTGCCATCAACTGCCGTCCCTTGACAACATCCGCACTGTGGGCCAGCGACGGTGTCCCAACTGATAGCCAACTGTTCTCTGCTATCGCGCGACATCCTGCAGCGTGTCGGCTGGGTAGTAGACCCTCTCTGTAAGAGTGCAGGGGGCATGCCATCGAGAACCAACCAGCCATGCGTCCCGCGTGTGACTCGACGCGCGTCCGGTCCGCGGTCTATCCCACCACCCAGTAATCGCCCCTGAGGCCGGCCGCCTGTTCACGTCCTGCGGTTCTTGCGGCGTTTGGTGCGGACGAAGCCTTCTGTGAATCAGCGTCTGTGCTGCGGTTAGAGGTATTTTGGGACGGAGTTTTGCTGTCCAGTCTATTAAATATCCGTGGGTTCCTTGCTGGGCTAACCCGCTACCGATGCAGACTCAATCCCATTCTCGTGGTTAATGTTTTTCAGAGTCGTAGTTTGAACAGCACAAGATATTGAGCAAGGGCAGCGTGTGGAACCCTTTTTGATGCAGTTGCATTAGCAGGCAATATTATTGCAAGTGCCCACTTTTCTTTAAGGACAGATAGCCAGAAATATTTTGCGTCATTGCTTAAGATTACTAGCGCGCATTTTTTAACTTATCAACCCACAGCGGCACCCATGCCGACACTGTCGCCAATCTACCCAACCCAGCTCGTGTGGCATCATTTATAGGTTCGAACTGATGCTGCGGGCCCATGAAGGCCTCCAGCCGCATTAAGGACGACGAGCGGGTGACGTGCCAAAAAAGAGGCCGTTGTTGGGTGCCGCTGTAAGAAGGGAGTGGGTGAACCCATCAGATTGCATCGTCTTATGTTTGCAAGCCGGTTCTCATCCTTAAGCTGTGTGGAACTCACGGGTGGAATCGTCTGCGTCGTTTCTGGAGATGTGACGGTTCTTTTTTTTTGTCCTCAGATAGTTTCACCATGGCCCGTGGACAGCAGAAAATACAATCTCAACAGAAAGCTCAGGCTAAAACCGCCATGGCAAAGAAGCAAGCCGGTCACAATTTGAAGGATCAGAAAAAAGCTGCGGCTGCTGCGCTTAGCTTCAACTGTGATATCTGCAAGGTATTTTCCCTCGAAGCCAAGTCATGCTGTCAGTACTCTGCTTTGAAATATGTCGCACGTGAGGTCATGCCAGATATTTGTCAACACCCATGCATAAATCAGTCCATGTTCTGTAAGATGCCGATGCCATTTAGCTAATCCTAACATCAGCCATTCAGTTTCGTAGCCTGAAACGAAAAGCGCCTGGGGAAACCAAAGCTCTTGCTTAACACGAGTGAGGCCGCAGGCTGAATGAGTCTGAGTTGAACAAGGATAAAATACTTCTACTTATGCGGCCCGGCCAACCCGGCCTAGCCCGTCCCGGTCGATGCACTTCCTTCACGCTATCTTTACCAGCGCTGGCTGGTAGTCACAGGTTCACAGTGTTCACTGGAACAAAGAGGTGCAATTGCTTATCTCAGTTCCCAAAACCATGCATCAGGTTCGCTTCTGTGTGTTATCCTTTCCTTGAGCCGTAGCATCGTTGTACACTGCATAGTTTGTTGAGACACACGTTAATGTAAAAAGCACAGCATGATGAAGAAATGACACTTTATTTCGTAAGTCAATTATTGGTACGGTGGATCGGTCACAGTTACAGCCACAAGATGGATTTTCGCCATGCGTGTAAGCATACCTTTTGTATATTTTGTGTTGACCGCGTTTATTGGATTCGCAAGTCAAGGAGCATTGCGTTCAAAATCTTGCTTTGTTGCAAAGTCATCGGTGTCGCCGATTTACATCGCTGAGCCCACCCTCACTCACGGCCAGGAATATTATGAGCTAATCAGGTCACAAATTTGTATGAGCCGACCGCCGTCCGTTAAATTCCCATCAAAGGTACTCCCTGACGCACCGATAAAACTAGCGGTGTCGATTGCCAAATTCGCCGGGCTCCATGCTCTGAGTCTTCGTCATCATCTACATGATAACAGTTGAGAGCCCTTATTGTCTTGGAGTTATCGCTTCGCTCGTCCCCTTCCGCAGAAAGGCGTCTTACTGGCGCGCGTAGTCATGTCGGTATGTTCTTTGACACATTGCGAGACGCACACCAGGCTAAATCAGGCAGATATGGTCCCAGAACCAACGGGACGGCAGAACTTAATCGCGGGCGGCTGGTTGCGGTCGATGACACTTAGCGTAGCAGGTGCTTTTTCAAACCGAATATATATATATATATATATATATGTATATATATATATATATATATATATATATATATATATATATATATATATATATATATATGTTCCACCGTAAGTCAGGTGTAATGCTCTGCTTCTTGTTGACGATTTGTAACGAATCATGCCTTTTTTCTTGGGCCAAACCTCCGCTCTTTGCCAAGTGTAAGTGAGGCCATGCAAGGTTATTTTGACCATGTACCCTGAATGTTTCAGCACATAAGTTCGGTTGTCTCAAATGAAACCAACAGCCACTTAGATCGAAACCTGTAGGCATGAGGAAGTTAAGCTCATACGCCGTAACAGATTCGTGTGTTTTAGCGTTCTGTGAAAACGCCATGCTGTAATCGGGGTCAGAAACCGATAGAGATTATAGCGTTTTGATGGCGGCGGCTGAGAGTTCCTTTGACTGTAAGGAATGGCTATTTGAAATATGTTTTAAAGATGAAGATTGACTCAACTAGTGCAGGCACGCTTGGCGTGAAGCAGGGGCAGTGAGAGTCGGAGTAAGTGAGAGCGCGGTAATGTTTGCGGGTGTCCGTCCTGTTCTCCCCCCCCCCCCCCCCCACTGGAAGTGTCATGGGAACAGATTGTGGTATCTGCAATTGAAACGTAGGTATGGAGTAGAACGTCACGTGGTGGTCATAAGGTTCGTGTCGGTTTACAATAATTAAACGCTAACCTGACCCGAAGTGTTACAAAGGTATTTCACGTTCAGAAAAGTCTGAGCGCTGGGGAATTCGGTACTCCAGTCGTCATATGTACGGCGTACTTACACATCACGCCTGCGAGATATTTACAGCTCACTTATTCAATAATTCAGAAGTTCGGCTTGTGCCGACTTTAGAACGTTTCGGTGTCCCTTCAATCCGGCGAAATATTACGTCTGAATATTTGTGAATCAGATAACTTATAACTGTGATATCCCTTACGGGCACGTGTGCATAGCCATAGTTTCATGAACAAATGGGTGCTTATTGCGTAAGTCTTGCCAGTTGCACTATTCCCTATCCCCACCTCTGAGATGTTTTCTCTTTGTCACCTCTCTATTGTGCATGTCTCGTGCCTACAACTGCAATTTCCGAATATGCCTCGCACTTTGATGATAGTTATGTCGGTGTGTTGCTCTTTGTTTTTGTAATAATAGTGCTATCGTTGCGTGTGCATACATGTGATAAAATGCATTTTCTGCGCCAGACAAGTGGTAGGTCATGAAAAGACGAACCACACCGAGTCTAAACAAACATGAACAAACGCGCCTGTAACAGCCGCGAAATTTTCACTGAATGTTTCAGTCTCAAATGCCGGATCCCAAAACGTACAAACAGCACTTTGAGAGCAAACATCCGAAGAACCCCCTGCCAGAGGCCCTGAAGGACGTGTAATGTGATCTTCCAAGCATCAGCGAACAATGGAAGCAGTCGTTTGGAAGTGCGCCTCCTGGAAGGCGTCCGGATCACTTCCTTGTCTATTTTTCCATTTATTTTATATGTTTTGTTGGAACCAGCGGGTGAATAGCTTTTAAGTGTCCTTGGAGATTGAAGTCCGACATCTTCACTGTTGCTTGAGGTCGCGGGCCGCGGGTTAAGGCTTCTAGGCTTGCTCAACTTACCGCAGACTGGACTAAAGCTACAGCGGTGTTCTTGCGTCGCGTGTTTGCGTGTACCGTGCCGCAGTTTTAACGGCCGTTTATATGTCTTTTGGCAAATACAGTTTTGAAACGGATGTGCTTGTACTAACAGATTTGGGGCACGAGCACCTAACGAGGACAATGCAGTATGCAAGTCGAGGCCCGCCGCATTTCCCACGCAGAAGCGGAAACTTTCCGTGTCTTGAAAAATCCGGAGCCGGCGGCAAACTTACCCCATTTGCTTCATGGATTTGAGACCGAGTTGACAAGCTCAGTTACGAGCCCAGTGTCCGGAATCGGTCGGAAATTAACCCTTGCGATCCTGCCTGAGTGAGCCATGAATCGTAAAGATTTCAGCCAGGGCATCAATTCTACAGTAAGTGAGTCCAACTTCGATTCCTAGAGTCGGTTCAGATCGTAACACCGGGAGGCAGATTCAGTGAGTTCCTCGCGAGGTCGTGGGGATTAACTTTATCATGCGTGAGTCGCCTTGCGTAGAACTCATTTTGGTGTTAAATTTCTACCCCATAAAAACTACTCCGTCACTAACCCACGCAGCGTGTCTGATACCTTAAGGCCATTTTAGAAAGTAGCACGCTGTCATGGACTTTTATCACGTGACTTGCTGTAATTCGTGATCACCAATTGCTTAAGATTTACACGATCAGAAACAATCCCAAGCTATAATTTAATGTAGCGTATTTGTCCCGACAGTGACTTTCAAACGAGTAGTTTTAGACCGAATAAAAGCTGTCGCCAATAACCAGGCACTCTCCGTTCGCTAACCGGCCTTTGTGTACATCCTCCATCCACCATCGTAGTATGTTAAAATTGAGTTTGCAGCATCTATCGTATAGGTTACCTTATCTCAAAAATGCAATAACCTCCTCAATATGACAGCGAAGTTCACGCATTGTCCTGGCCCAAGTCCGGGTCTACTTCCATCCACCATTCCCTAGTTATGAACTCATAATGCAACACGCAATATGATATGCATTAAGCCAGAAATAAATTTTGATGATATTTTACTGTCTATATTATGTAGACTCATCCAGTTGTCTGAATGCGTACGACTGAGATAACTTTGCTGACATCACACTAAATTTTACTCACACGCGGTACCCTGTTACCGTCAGCTCTGCGTCGCCGCCCGCGCACATATTTCGCGACCTCGCCAAGCGCGCAGACCACGACGCCGGGCACAGACGCGCGGTCGGCGACTGACGCGCGTCCACCGCTTCAGAGCGCCGCCTCTCGCCGCGCCATCCGCGTCCGCCGTCCTCCGTTTGGCCTGGTGACGTCACGGCGCTGGCTGTCCGCGCGGCCCCACAGTCGCCGGCAGGTGCCTGGCCTGGTTTGCACCGCTTTGGGCCTGGCCTGGCCACGACGGCCGTCCGCGCACCCTCGAGTGTCGCGAGTTAGGCTTAGCCACTGACGAGTCCCCGGCCGGACAAACTGGACTTCAGTGCTGTTACCGACTTCCGGCTGTCACAGACACTACAGACTTGACCCGAGCCGTCACAATAGCGGCTCGGCACCCCCGACGCGTTCACGACGGCAATCTCAGACGGCCCTCGCTTGATCACATGGGAGAAAATACATCATGACCGCAAACGTAGCGCCCGGCTGGTGCCTCTTAGAGGGACAGAGGAGCATCATCCTCCTCCTCATCACCATCATCTTCAGCGACTCGTCACACAGCCCATCTGTAGTTGCTGAATCCCTCAGGCGTCGGCAGGGGCAGCGTCCCTCGGGCTTCCTGGGCGATGCCTGGCACGCCTCGGCCGTCCTAAGGACGCTCGATTGCCACGCTTGCCTGCCAGAGCGGGGAGCGGGCTGGTGCCACTCCTGCTTAAACCGTGATAGGGGCCTGCAGAGACGCCGCTCCGTCTCCGGTCATCTCTTGGCGATCAGCCTGTTCTGCTCCGCTCCTGCTCCGCAGTCCGTAGAGCATCGAGCGGGGTCGCTCCATTTCGTGCCAGCGGTCGTGCCGTCGCCCCATTTCGCAGCCAGCCGACCCGAGTCTACCGTCCGGGCTTCTCGCGTCTGCTCAACCCTACCTCATCGTCGCCGATGATGAGGCATGCGTTGTTCGTCCGGGGCCGGGCGCCACTCGTCCGGGGCCGGGCCCCACTCGTCCGGGGCTGGGCCCCATTGTCCGGGTCCGGGCCTCACTCGTCCGGGGCCGGGCCTTACTTGTCCGGGTCCGGGCCTCGCTCGCCCGGAGTCGAGCTCACTCATCTGGGGCCGGGTCTCACGCACCCGAGATCGAGCTCACCCGTGTGGGGCTGGGTCTCACGTGCCCGGAGTCGAACTCACTCATCCGGGGCCGGGCCTCACTCATCTGGCGCGGTGTCCTCGGCCGGGGCGGCGTCCTCGACCGGTGCGGCGTCCTCAACCGGCGCGGCGTCCTCGACCGGGGCCGCGTCCGACGGCGGCGACTCGTCCGACGAGGTGGCGCCGGCCGTGGTGGACGAGCCGGACGAGGTGGCGCCCGTAGAAGAGGAGGTGCCCGTTGCGCCTGTGGCCGACGACGTCCCGGTCGGGCCCGTGGTGGATGCGCTCGGACCCGTGGTGGAAGCGCTCGGACCCGTGGCGGAAGCGCTCGGACCGGTGGTGGACGTGCTGGGACCGGTGGTGGACGTGCTGGGACCGGTGGTGGACGTGCTGGGACCGGTGGTGGACGTGGCGGGGCCCGCACTGGACGAGGTGGCTGCAGGAACGCTTGGCTTAGCGGCGGGCGGCGGCGGCGGCGGTGGCGGTGGCGGCGGCGGCGGGGGCGGCCTGGATGCGGCCGACCTGGCAGCCCGAGACGGTGGCGAACCGTACAGCGCAGCTCGCGGCGGGTGGCCGATCTCGCTGGCTGGCCGGTCCGTGCTCGGGTACGCTTTACGTGGCTTCGATATGGCGTCCATTCGCTCCGACAGCTTGTATCGCCCCTTCAGCCGCCACGGCTCGTTCACTGTCACACGCAGGGAAAACAGACGTATGACAGATCATAACCACCAATACAAGGCGTCAGTGAGGAAAATGAAGCGCTCGAGTTGGCGATGGAATAATACTGATCTGAGCTCCCTAGGCCTGTTCTCAGCGACCTGTCTAAAAAATACTGATGCACGACAATTGCGGCGTGTTTGCGTAGTGATGAATGGATTCATCAGTTTCGAACGAACCATCAGCAAACTTCTGTCTGTTTTTGTCAGCTTATTGAAATCAATTTACACAGTCAATGAATCATTTCATCTGCTTTCTTGTACATAAGGACCATCTGTTAAGACCCAAAGGCATGCGAATTCGTATCACATTGTACGTGTTGGAGCCCTTTCCGACAGCGTGAATCATCTTGCCTTGCGCGCCACGTCGCCGTCATTTTTACTACAAAATAAAAGTGTAAGAGGTCGCACCCAATCGAACACGAATAACATCAGCCTGGAAAGCACGCGCCAGACGACCACTGCCAGGCGGCCACTCCACGTGCGGGTGGCACCCGACGTGCGTGATGCTCGGTCGCCCGCGTGGCCTCCGTGACGCCGCTTCGTACCATCCAGCGGGTACACCTTCTTGGGCTGGGACATCTGCAGCATGTGGTCGGTAATGTTGTACTTCAGGGCGGCTCGGGGCACATGAATCACCTCGTCGGTGCTCCTGTTAGGAATATACAGCATCTGTTAGAGATGGTATTGGGTCACTTTTTACAGGACTTGGTAAGGGCTGATAGCGGCGGGGGAGTAAAGTAGCGCCACCTATAGACGGAGAGCGGGGGGGGGGGGGCGTAGTGTGGCGCCATCTTAAATGGAGAGGAAGAGAGAGAGAGAGAGGGAGGGGGGAGGGAAATATACTTCAATTAATTGACACGGATGAGATGGTTTCCTTAGAGAGTGCAGCATCGTCTGTTGATGCTTTCAGACCTCTGTTATGAAACGTGGTCCAAACCGTCGTACGGAAAGCGTGCTTGTTTGCCGTTACAAGTGCAGCGTGACAGAAACGAGACCCTTTTATAGGGTTGTTTTGGTTGATTTCACAGCGCCATGGTTTATAATATTACAATATTAAGTGCCAAATTTAAAACGTGATAGCCTCCAGGGGGCGGTGTCGATGTAAATGAGAAATGGTTTTACACTTAGAAGCAAATGCCACGGCAAAAACAAACGTTTGACTTTTATCGGGATCGGACGATCTAATTTTCCCGGCATTGGCCAACAAATGGAAAACTATTTTGAGGGTTGTACCCAGTCTCTCACACGGCTATGTCTTACCTTGTGTGAACCTCCATCCCGACCACTCTCTTCGCCCGAGCGATGTAATATATCCGAGCGAAAGAGGGGCCATTGTTTTCCTCCATTAACTGAAATGACTTGCTGTAACATTGGCGGAGCCCGGTTAAAGTTCAACATGGAACGTTGCCTAGTCAAAGTGCACGCGCGGTGTGGCAAGTGTGCTCATGTTATTTGTGTGTTTTCAAAGCGAATCTTAATATATTTTCAGTGCACTTTAGACGGCGATATCTTTATGACAAAAGAAGCTCTCGAGGCTCATTTCTTGCAGCGAGATGAGGTGGTTTGTCGATAGCAAAAAGAAAAACAAAGACTTAGACTCAGATTCATCCCAATAAACACACACTAACTCACTTCCATGGCAGTCGGGTGTCCGGTGGTGGACGGTACTGCCGTGGCTGGGACAGCAAGGTTATGTGGTTCAGCCAGGCGTCTGCAGCAGTGATCGCCAGTTAGCGATATGCTTGTTAGCTGAAGAGCTTCGCGGGCATGTCTCATCCATAAATAAGATAAGTGCCTTGAGCATAGACGTAAGATGTATGCCAGAACTACCCAGGACCCAAGGTGCAAAAAATGCATTCCGCGATAATATATTCGGCTCAAGGGGCAGTAGAGGCCAAGATGTCCGTCGAGATTTTGTCGATGTCAATGTCAATGTTCGTCAAGCGAAGTATTCGCGACGGAGGTACCGACAGTTTGGTAGCTGTGATGCACGTCTGGAAAACCAACGGCACGGGGCTCGATTCTCCGCGGTGCCCGCCTATTCCTGCCAGGGTGAAAAGCGGGCGGTGCCACATAGCCTCAGCAGATGGGTGCGTCATAATGTCCCAATGATGATAGCAATCGCGACGGCAACTGGAACGCCGGGTCCGAATTTGTGTCCTTACACATGCAAACTTGAGTGAGATACGTATTTCAAGCAACATAATCTTCGAGTTCCCCTGTTTGGCCTTGAAGTCAAGTCAAATCTGGCGTGCCAATTCTGGTCTTGGAATGCTTCGCCAATCGTCGAGACTCATAGGTCAGCAAGGGTCTAGCAAATAACAGTGAACTTTGGTGACCAAAGACACTAGGTCACCCGCAAACTGCTGTCTTGTTTCAATACAGGAGACAAGGAGCACGCCACACGCGTGCTTGCCTCCCCATAATTCTTCGTGGAAACCGGTTCTTGGTTCCTGAGCCAGTAATCGGCTTATAACCAAGTTGGAGATTCTGCGAGAGCCAGTGTCAGTACTAATATATGTTAAGGGAGCCAGCCAAGGGAAAGCAAGTGCCAGGAGCCAGCCTTACACCTGGCAGTAAGCCTGCAGATACAGTAGCACGCGTAGTACGCTCTACCGCTCTCTAGTAAGCTAGATACAGCAATGCGCCCTCGCTCTCGCTCGATCCAGTGCAGCAAAATATGCACAGGGATCCAGCGGAAACCAAAGCCCAGCTTAATACGATGCCTTGAGAGAAGACCCAGCACGACCAAAGATCCAGTACAGAGGGAACCAACAACAGCCGTGATATTTCCTGAAATTGTTATCAGAAATGATGTGCATCTATCCCACACTGACGCGCGAAGGCTCTGTATAAACGAGGAGGGGAAGTTCGCTTCTCTCTCTCCTTCTCCTCTTCTCTTTCTCTCTCTCTTCTCTCTCGGAGGGAGGAAGAGAAACGAGGAGGAAGACTGAGAGAGGAGAGAGGGAGAGATCGCTCTTCTCTCTTCTCTCTCTAACTCTCCTCTCTCTCCTAGTCTCTCTCTCTCTCTCTCTCTCTCTCTCTCTCTCTCTCTCTCTCTCTCTCTCTCTCCTCTCTCTCTCTCTCTCTCTCTCTCTCTCTCTCTCTCTCTCTCTCTCTCTCGTCTCTCTCTCCTCTCTCTTCTCTCTCTTCTTCTCTCTCTCTCTACTCTCTCTCTCTCTCTCTCCTCTCTCTCTCCTCTCTCTCTCTCTTCTCTCCTCTCTCTCTCTCTCCTCTCTCTCTCTCTCTCATCTATCTTTCTCTCTCTATCTCTCTCTCTATCTCTCTCTCTCCTCTCTCTCTCTCCTCTCTCTCTCTCTCTCTCTCTCTCTCTCCTCTCTCTCTTCTCTCTCTCTCTCTCTCTCTCTCTCTCTCTCTCTCTCTCTCTCTCTCTCTCCTTCTCTCTCTCTCTCTTCTCCTCTCTCTCTCTCTCTCTCTCGCTTCTCTCTCTCTCTCTCTCTCTCTCTCTCTCCTCTCCTCTCTCTCTCTCTCTCTCTCTCTCTCTCTCTCCTCTCTTCTCTCTCTCTCTCTCATTCTTCCTTCTCTCCTCTTCTCTATCTCTTCTCTCTGATCTCTCTCTTCTCTCTATCTCTCCTCTCTCTCTCTCTCTCTCTCTCTCTCTCTCTCTCTCTCTCTCTCTCTCTCTCTCTCTCTCTCTCTCTCGCTCTTTTGATCTCTCCCAGTTCCTGGCTCTCGTTCTCGTTCAAGCTCTCTCACATTCTCTGCCTCATTCACTATCCTCGTTCATCGACCCAGGCTCTAACTTTCATGCAGTGGAAAAAGGGGGAGTCGAGGAGCAACATCTGGAGCCTGGGACTTGTCTACTCCAGAGAGCATAAACATTGACCTACATCATCCCAACCCCATATTGCGTGCCCACTGCAAAGTACAACACAGAGCTTACTTAGGGTGACCTGGAATGCTAAGGTACTTTTAAGCGCTTATCCAGTACCTCGTGAGTGATGGCCATGACCTTCAGATTGCATGAAGACACACTTTTCACTGATGTCTGATGCTACACAAAGAAGACAGCGAAGGCCGTTTGTGATTATGCGTGAGGATGACCTGGCTGGATACCCGTTGACATCATGAAGTGTTATTGAACCCATTGCCATGCGGGGCCATGGCGTATACGCGTATAACATGAATCGCACACATGAAGCCCAAATTCGGTATCAGCAATAACGGTCATGCCGCCACTTTTGGGCAATTTCTTTATTTTACGAGACTGAGAAAATATTGTCTGTTGAACACACAACTCCCGCAAACGGAATAAGAGATAAAAATTAGAAAACGCGGGGTGGGGTGTTATAGCTTTATATGACCGAAACGCAACTCGGTCACGACCAAGGATTTGCACCGCCACATGCCGACACGACCGACTGTACCGTAGGTTTTCGCTTGACTGTCAAAGTGTTGGGCCCGCTGACCTCAGCAAGTCATCAACCCATAGATAAAAGACGGATAAGTATCGGGCCCGCTGACCTCAGCAAGCCATCAACCCATAGATAAAAGACGGATAAGATAAAGCGGGTGGATGACGAGACAGTGTCGGGTCAATGCCGCCTTTCTCAGGGATCCAGCGTCGTCCGATAGAAGAGAGAGACGAAACGGTATCGTTTCTTAACTCGCGTTTCGCCAGTAAGACAGGCCGTCTTTAAGCGTTAATTGGAAATACGCGAATGGCAGTGCGAGCTCCAGTAATGAGCAAAAGGGCATGATACATTCGTGGGCAAGAGTGCATGTGTATTTGTGTATATGTGGTACCATACCAAATAAACGGTATCGTGGCAAAGTACATTACGTCAATTCACCACAAACGCAATGATTGTATATATATATATATATATATATATATATATATATATATATATAAATTAGTGTGGATATGTACATATACACACCTATGTATATTTATTTCTATACTGCATTATAATCCAAAAACCTTCCTTCGAATGACATGTATCTTTGAATTGTGCATATTATCAGGTTATTGGCTGTTACAACCACTGGAATGGTCATGAGTCAATGCTTACCAGCGCAATGAAATATGAGGCCAAAAATGTACCTTTTATATTCTACGGTCGTTTTCCTGTGGCCTAACTCGGTGGACATGTATATTGAAGGGTGTTCTAGCATGGTAACCCACGGAGGGACGTGTCCGCCCCCTCCATCATTTTAACATGCATTGATATGTACGGGAACGAATGTTGACAGACCAAGGAGACACGTAAGAATGGGAATGTAACATGCGGTGTAAACATGAAAGAGCATGCGATGCATCTTTACGATACACATGAAATCTAGCTGCTCGCGGCGTGATGAGCCGGGTTCTCAGTGAGAATGTTGGGTTGTACGCCCTCATTGTAAAATCTTCGTACGCCCCTTTTCACGATGTTTTATTGTATCCGACGAGTTGAAGGTATCCTGACACGCCCGGGTCCGTCAAGTGTTCACACAGATGTGACAGGTGGTGCTCTAGAAGTGCTCAAGTTTAAAGCTGCTCGTGCAATCTAATTGCAACCATTGGTGAAAATTTTGGACGATAGCCACAGATGGCACTAACTCGTGGGTAAATATCGCGAATTTGGGCGTACTTTTCACATAAAAAATCGCTTCCAAAAAATGTCAAAACACTCGTCCTGTCGTGGTGTGTGGCTGCGCTGCTCATGCCGCAACATACCAAGGTGCGAGCCAATGTGCGTGACACTAAACTGTCTTCAAGATAGATTGACCGTCCCTGCTGGTGACGTAATCCACACATATGCTGTACGAAACGCTGACGCTGCATCGTACGGACGTGATCGACTCGGAGGGTCGCAGGTAATGAGAAACGGACTTCACTTCCAGCTGTAATAAACTTCCAGATGTAATAAACTACTCAAAACAGCTAATAAATTACAACTGATGACTAATTTCCAAAAGCAAATAGCTTTTTGCGAGGCAACGGTGACCGGTATCTTAAGATCCACAACATAGCTTACCATATTCGTCGAGCGGAGCGTCTGGCATTTCGTATCGTTGTACTATTCCGTTTGTGTCTGGTGACCGTCCTTGTAATTGGTATGGGACAGGTCAATCTAGAACAATTGAGCCTACCCTGCAGCCATTTCAACACATAGATTTGCCGCGGATGAGGTTGAAAGTTGTGAACGTCTAAGTTAAGTGCACATTAACATAAAGGATTTCAGGTCACATAATATACACTCAGCAATTTTGTAGGAAGTGGTAACAAGAAAAGGAACAACAATTTGGATGTGTCCGGTTCAGCCAAAATGAAAATTTTGCGTTTGTATTTTATCCGAGCTGCTCGGCTGTGCTGCAGAAATGATACCGAACTCGAAAGCACGTTCTTCTTTTGAAGCAGTACCTACTTCGTGCAGTTTCTGGACACAACCAAAGCTATCTAAGACAACCGATAAATGTCCATGTTGCGTGTCTGAGTGGGCATTCTAATGGAAGCTTCGATGAAACAGTAACGTTGACGGAGTTAGAACAAACGTCCAATATGTGTATTTGTCACCAAAGGAACATCTAACGCCTAAGGAAAGTATGTGACGCCTTATCAGTTTGTATTATATGAAGCGTAGTAAAAAGGCAAACATCTCGTACGACCGTTCACATTTTTTAGAAATGTCACTCTACGTCTTAAAACTATACAGTGGCACCAGGACCTATGTACATCACCAGAACAATCTAAGCACGCAATCAGGCACTCAGCATTCGTTGTTGCTGGCTAACGAAAGTGTTACAACTTATCAACTGTAAGGGCTTTGGATGTCGCAAAAAGTCTGAAATACATCGCTTTAAATAGATGAATAAAATAGCGCAGAGACACACATACAGATAACACACAAAACCTCCGCTTTCTCCAGGAACTGAGCAACCATGCTTAAATGAACGGCCCTGAAAGACAAATGCTCCCTGTAACGAATGCATTGGCAGTTGTTCACAGTACCACCGCGGCCCTTGAGCTGAGACGGGCCTTTCGATGCAATGATGACGCTGTCTTCCTGGATATAGCCACGGTCCCGTCTTGTTCTAAGGCATGTCAGCTTGTCACACGCTTTCCCTGAGATCTTAAAAACACGTTTCTCCCAAGGATGAGTTTTCGCGTTGCTCTCGAGACAACGCGCCCTGCCGGCAAAACCAAACTCAGGTTATTTTCTGGGTGCAGCTCACGCTTTGATAAGCTAAAACGTCCAGGGCCGAGCCCATCTTGCGCACGGCCATAACCATTACCGATGGCTTCCGCATACCCTGCGGACTTAAGATCAACGACCCGGTGTTTGGAAGCTCGGTTTGGTTCCAGACGATTACGTCGCAGAAAAATGTAACATTCGATTACCCAATTTGAGAACCAAATCAGATTTCGTAACTTTTTGAATAGTTGGAACAGATCACACGTGGTCGCAATAGGCAGCCGCCTACAACGTTCGTCGCCTGTCACCAGATCCACCGCATGCAAAGTTAGTATCACAAAACACCAATACACTAAATGTGCGAGAGGAAACAGCTACATTCCCGGATGTCTGCGACACCTTCCTACGATGAGAAGCGTATTCGTCCAACATCAAATGGTGATCGGATGCGATTTTGCGCCCGCTTTAAAACAGCTACATTCCCCGATGTCTGCGACACCTTCCGACGATGAGAAGCGTATTCGTCCAACATCAAATGGTGATCGGATGCGATTTGCGCTCGTTTTAAAAGCGCCCTGCCCAAAGAAATCCCTTCTGTGCGATATAATCACATTGATTATTGCACAGGCTGCAATTGGGATGCCAAATTGCCACGCGAAGTGCAATCAGAAGAAAACCTGGCAGTCACAATTGGTTAAGGCACTGTAATGTAATCTGTACCTCCGAAAAAACTAAATTTTTACCCCGACCCAAGTCCAAATCTCAGGACCGGTTTGGAAGTATGACCTAATTTCGCACGAAGTTTCGGTTAATATACGAGAGATAATGGTGTTAAATTGCCGCTATGCCCTCGTTGGAGATGTTAAATTGTCGCTCTACCCTGGTCGCAGATGTGAAGTTTCCGCTTTGCCCTCGTTGTAGATCTTAAATTGCCGCTTTACCTTCGTTGGATATGTCAAATTGCCGCTTTGCCCGTCGTACTACCCAGGAAGTCACCAAACGATGGTATCGTTGAATTTTTCCCGCACTAGACACATAAGTTTGATTACGTTTTCATTTGGTCCGGGAGAAACAATCTGCCTGCTGTGACTAAGGCCATCAAATGCGCCAGCCAATATCAGAGGTCTGTTGCGAGCTCTCTGCCAATCGAGGTCGTTGGTAAAAAGTCATTGTAAAGGAGCAATGTGATTATAATGACATTTGAAGAAGATAACACTAGAGCCTTTTTACTCGTAGAACAATTAGAAGAATGGAGAGGCAGATTTTAGCGAGATGGATTACACACAAAATGTAGAGAGATAGATTCTCCTGGTTATTCTTCGATGAATAATAATTTTCGTAATGCCCTATTTACATGCGTAATGCCCCTCGCAAGTGCACTTCACGGCTTACTGTGGCAACTGTTAAATGTTGTCCTCCGAAGGGATGCATTCACGCTGCGGGTTTTGATTTCAGTTGTTAGAAAGGAGCTCAGAAGCGACTGCGCGCCTTTTGGCGATCCCGTCTAACAACTGCACGTCGAACAGTCTTACGCGGCAGCACCGACGCGTGCCAAAATGGACCCTTCCCAAGGTCCAGTCCGCTCCATAACACAACTCCGGAATGCATGATAAGCGATAACCTCCGCTTGGAACGCCAACAAACGATTACAGACGACAGATGTCCGGACCCAAACCGACCCAGTCTGCCGGTCCCGCGACGGCCATCAAAGGCGCGGCGGGTACAGCGGGAACTTCCTGACGGCGTCCGTCCTGTTGGACGGACACTCCTCCTCCCGGCAGCCGAGGAAGGCGTGCAGGTCGTGGCTGCTGTAGAACACCTCGTGGGCTAGGATCCTGCCGGCGTCAGCCACACAGGCCTGGTCATGACACCGCTGGTCGTTTGGGTCCGTTCCGCGGCAGATTAAACCAGCGCGATTTGCAGGACCTGACGAGGGCCTTGCGGACGAGGCATGATAAACTGTTGATAACTCAGCCTCATAACTGCATTTTTAACGGTGAGATGGGCTGCAGGCGACTCCCTCCGTCGTAGCAGAGGGGGGGGGGGGGGGGGAGGGCGCCCGGGGTGTGACCGTCGGCCTGGGAAGAGACGAGATACCCGGTCGATGCCGGCATATGCCGCCCACTCACCACTTGAGCAGCCTCTTGTGGAGGCCGCACTGGAGCAGGAGCTCATCGTCAGAGACGCTGGTCAGCCGCCGCGGTCCCAGCGACTTCAGGCCGCGCATCAGCTCCGTGCTGCGCCGGAGCAAGAGTGACATTACGCGCCGCTCCACCGAGGGCGTCGGCGGCGGACAGACCGTGACGGTTATGGAGACCGTGCCGGGGTGGAGATGGGCTGTGCGAGCTTGTCTCCGAAGAAGAGAGCGACGGTGTGGTGGTCTTCGATGTGTGTGTGTGTGAGAGCCACTTATAACACGGTGATTCGATCCATTCTGAGCACGTTCGTCATGCAGCGCGGATGATCCCAGTTGGCGTTGACTGGGCCTGAGCGCACTGTGAATCGGAAGCGGCTGTCGGCGCACAGCGCGTCCTAGACTAGCGGCGGCCGATGTCTTACTTGAAGGCGAACTGGCTCCTGAGGCTGGCGGCCAGCTTCATGAAGTCCTCGTCCCACCGCCGGATCACCATGTAATTGGCGCAGAGCATCGGCGAGTCGGACTGTCGACACGGTCAGAGCTCCAGACCCGCACCCGCACCCCCAGCCGCACCCACGGGTCCCGCACGCCCCCGCGAACACGGGCGCAGATGGGACCGGTGGACGGCGCTGCGGTGCTGGGCGGGGACCCACGAACCGCTCACATCCCTGCACGGCCCGCGAGTCGCTACACACCCAGACCCGTCGCACACCAGCACATCCGGGAGTCTCGTACCGCTCGTGGCTGGTGCAGGCTATGCACCATTTGGACTACTGCTCCGAACGAGGGAGCTATGTGGGTCAGCGAAAATTCGAAAAGGAGCAGCTTGCTGTCCTATGTCGACCATCTTGGAAAGGGGCAGTCGCTTAGGTAGGTAAACCCGTCCGACGTTTCCCACACGAGTCGACATGGATCGTGCTTTGATTGCTTCAAATAAGGTTTGACTCAGGGACTGATTTGACATAGAAAATGAGCACCTCAGCTTGGTAAGCGGCCAGTACACATCGCAGTACCAGCGCTAGGGCGCGGGGGATTTGGGTCTTGACGGCTACCGCACCATGGTGGTGATCTGGAAGCTGACGGGGTACGGCTTCCAGCTGGTGCCGCGGCAGAGGTTGCAGCAGCCGATGCTGTCCAACTGCGGCTCACGCACCTGCAGATCCAGCCACTGTCGGCAGGCCGAGACAGCAACGTCAGAGCAGCAACATCAGCATCGGGATAACGGCTTCAGCACCATCAAAGCAAATCAGCACCAGGACATGGACTTCAGCACCAGGACAGCGGCATCGGTACCACGAAAACAAATCAGCACCAGGACAGGAATACCAGCACCGGGACAGTGGTCTTAGCACCAAGACGCCGACGCCAGCACTAGACACCAGTGACAAGTGATATCAGCACCAGGGCCAGGTCCCCTTGTAAAGATTCTTTCCACTTTTCACGATGCGATCAGTTTCCAACCTATATGGAGAGTTAGTGAGCTGTATCCCACCAGTCCCTCGTCCTCGATTTTACGCCTCTGGCATCTATAAATCCTAGTCACAGTGGGGCAAAGTCCCCTCACGTTCCAAGGCACATGTAAATAGTGCGGAGCACGGGATGCATAGGTGCCAGTCAAGCGAAGCTTGCGTCAATGTCAACTGCCTACGCCATCAACGCGACCATCCGGGCAGCCCATCAATGTCTCTGCACCTCAAACAACGTCTGACCTTCCTTTTGAACAGCATGCTGAGATCTCGGGCCGTCACCGTCGCTCTCGACCTCCGTCTGCGGGACGTCCCTTCCGGCAGGTCCACCCGCCGTCAACCGCCGTGGAGCAGTGAGGACGGCCGTCCGCCGCGCGCGCGAGCGGCCTCGTCTGCCTCCCCCAGCCCACCCCCTCCCCCGCGCGGCCACCGTCCACTGCCTGTACCCGCTCACTGCCTCGGACGGAGCCGACGCTGAACGGGGTCGAGCTGTAGCCGGCTAAACTCAGCGTGGTAGAATGATTTTGGCTAAGTTTCACACCTTTTTACACGTCACCTGGACGTTCAGACTTATTGGTGTGTCCGGTCGCAGACTCACGACTTATGATGACAATGATGACATTAAGATGACTTAGGCGGCATGATGGCATACCCTGGCTTGTATCAGCCGCGCTCTGCGGACATCTGAGGAGCTAAGTAGGACGGCAAAATTGTGCTTCGATCTTGTGCCAGCCTACCTTATAGATCACCCGCAGGAGAAGCAGCAAAGCAATCTCAGCAAAAACATGTACATAAGTCGTTTGTCGTTTCGCCGAATTTGGCTCATATTTTTTGGATGGTCCTGATGAGAGAAAATGGGCGGTGTTACGTCCCAAACCAGATACCCACCAAGATACGTCATTTGTATCCGTATTGTCGTTTCATTTATGTGGCAAACGGTCCTTGAGTGTCGAAAATAAAATTGTTCAGCTCCTTACTTTCATGTTGGCTCTAGCACGTCATACCAATCGACCTGTAAATCAGTTTTCACCATGGTAGACCATGGTAGACCATGCATTTTGAGATACCTAAACAAGCATAGAGGGCCCACATCCACTGCTAACTTGGCGAGGCTGCAATGGTCTCAACGAGTGGGGATTTGATCGAGACTAGAGAAACCTGAAAAGTCAAGTTGTGCAGTCGAAGCGGTATATCACTGAAATACATATTATTTGAACTGCATATTATCGTTTTTTAAAAATTGCATAAGCGCAAAAATACATTTTTGGATCAGATCACTTCTACACATAATAAGGCCCGGCAACCGTACGATAGGACTGCTAATGCGAAGTCTGCGGACTTTTTTGCTCCAGCCACGTACGGCGTGTGCGGGCGGGCGCGGCGAACATAGTCAAACTAGCGTCCCTGCGAGCCACCGCGCTGACGCGCGCTCCATTCTTCCTTACAGAACCGCGGTTTGGACAGCGCCTGCAGGTATAAATTTGCGGAGATTGGGACGCATTTAGCTGTGTTTTGAGCTTTCGTGTAGCAGGAGCTCTGTGTGGTGTTTCTAGCATGATTAAAATTGCGAAGGCCGGTGTACTTCATCCAGATAAGATTAACAAAGTTGCAAATCGACACACAGCGCAGAAGTTCTCGTTCTTTCACGGAGTGATGGCTGACAAGACAGAAGTGTACTTCTCGTCCGTTATTTTTCCGCTACGCATCTCTGTCCGGACGTCTCGGAGCTCAGGCATTGTATTCCTGTTACCAGGCAGAATATCTCCACGTCCACAATAACACTTTTCTCGTTTTTGTTCTGCGCTTTCAACACGTTTTTACACTTGTATACACAATTTGATCCTTTCCATGACACGAGAGACTATGCTTCGCATTTTTTACTTACATGCCTTCAACTCGTGATGCTTGTCTGCCATTGTGATATTTGTTTTTCATTGTTCTGTATCGTGTTTATATGCTGTCGTTTTGTATTTTGTAGATAGGGCGTGTGAATGAGGTCCACTGAGATCAGGGCTTTAGACACTCTTATTTGTACAGTCCTAAGACAACCTGTTCCTAAAAATGGGGTTGAGTAGCACGTCTTTGTAGTTCCCTAAACCAAAAGAGTGGGTCTGGTGCACGTGCTGCAAAGTCTCATTTCCGTTTGGTCAACAAGAATTACTGTTTGTTCAAGGTCACAACCTGTGAGTCCTTAAAAACGGAGTCCATCTATTCGTTATTCTTAAGCGTTACGCTAATATTTCTGTAGACTAAGCCGATATCGATAAAGATTCACACATGTGGACGTAAATAAGTGCTTTAAGTAGTATTTCTTTGATTGACAGATCGATCAATGGTATTTAAGGGCGCGTCGACCACTGAGGTCATCCAACACCCACACATAGCGGTGTAGAAAACGCGGCAGTGAGGATTGGTAGACCTCAACAATGAGGTGGTTCCCAGGTATAATACCATGGTCGGTCGATGACCAGGTAATGCACGTCAGAAATTTCAGTTTATTCTCGGTGCGCCGTACAAATTAATAGCTTGAACGTCATTCTCAATACACACTTCTTCTCTTAAACACGTCAATATGATTGTACGCTCTCTCCCTCTCCCTCTCCCTCTCCCTCTCCCTCTCTCCTCTCTTCTCTCTCTCCATTTATATTTATATTTTGGATTTGTATTTTATATTTATATCTGCGCATTTTCTTTTTTGTTCTCATGAGCCTCGGGTCCTGCAAATAAATGATCGTTCCTAATAATTCGGACTCATTAGTGGTTTATCCAAAAAGGAACCAAATGAAATGAAAGCATTATGGCTACGCCGAAGTTGCCAATTTTACCCGAGAATATTCAACACGGATCAAGGTTTCGTCCGGCCGGGAACTGAAACGAGTAACTTCAAAATATTGGCTGATTTCAAGAGCGCAGATTCTTAAATATAGCCAGCCCCTTGCAGTTTTGCAAACTGCAACCAAGTTGCACCAGAATGAGCCTCTCCAGCCACTCGGATGCGTAATCACACCAGTATCTCTGACCTGTCATCACCTGCCCAACGTCCAGTTCCTTTTCCATGCAGTAATTGGCGTGGGACTGCATCCCGGTGAGCAGTCTGACAGCAAGCTAGTGGAAACAACAGATCAAGCCGAGTCGGGGTTATAACACAGACCAAGGGCAGGCGGGCAGTTTCGCATGTGTCTCGTTGCGGCTTTACGACGCACTCATCTACTGAGGTTATCTAGCAATGTCTGCCCCAGACCCTGGCAGCAAGGGCGGGCACAGCGGAGAAAGGAACCCCGTCCCAGATTAGATAAGACAGAACTCATAGCATTATTCCTCGGAGAAAAACCAGGAGAATGGAGAAAGAGATTGGTCTCCTTTTTTGTTCTCATAAACCCCGGGTCCTGCAAATCAATGATCGCGTCCTTATGATTGTGACTCATTAGTGGCTTCTTGAAAGGGGAAAAATGAAAGGAAAGCATCATGACTACGCCGAAGATCCTGGTTTTCCTGCTTTTTTTCTCCGAGGAATAAGGCTATTACTTCAGTCTTATCTATGTGACTTATGTTTCTCGCAAATGCACTGAACAACTTCCGTCCCAGATTAAGTTAAATTGGAGGCTAAGCAGGGAATGCTAACCCGACACACCACAAACCGCGCCAAACACGGGCTTCTTCCCGCATTTGATCAGCTTTCTTCTCATGTTGGGGTTTAGAGCCATTTCCCCACCACCACCCCTCCACCCAGCCCCGACTGAATAGGGGACTACATCCCTGACACAGACCTAGTTGGATGACCTTAGCTTGCTGTTTTAGGATAGCCGTTTTGAGTAAAGTAGCCCAAAGAAAATTATATTAATTTGACATAGCTCAAAATGCCATGATTTCAAAATGCCATGACTACCTGTACGAGAAATAGGTTTGGAATTATGGTAGCTATGTCAGTAAGTCTTATGTGTCGGCGTTTTGTTGCTATTAGCTCCATGACTGTTTCTTAGACATATCCGAAAGGGGGAAAAACAAATGAGCTGACCCGACATTGCATTGATCCAGGCTGGCTACATCACCATGTCTGACAGAAAAAAACAGTGGCGTAGGCGAGTGGTGAGCGTTGTGTGCCATATATACCACCGTCTCCACAGGAAGGGGAAGGGGCCTGAGGGCGAAGGCCCCATTACTTCTTGTTAGTTTTAGGAGCTCGTGTGATATCTAACACATCAAAGTAGTTGCTACATTTAACCATTCTAACAGTTTCAGGCTTCCCGAGTCTAAAGAGGCCTTAGTCAAAATAGGATCTGGAGCCTAAAAGGTCCTCAAAACAAAATAAAAAACAGGGCCTCCATAGCGGCGAGGAGAGACCCTTCGCTAAGAGGGCTCCGTGACCCGCTTTGGCCCCTTCGGCGCGAAATCCTGACTACGCCACTGGTGACCGCCAGTGGCAGACTGTGGACGAGCGCTCACTGCCGCCCAGCTGGTGGTGCGTGGACATGTGCTTGAGCCTGAATGGGCCAAGGCCACGTGCAGGCAGCACGCCACCCAGGACATAAACAGACGGTCCGCCGGGGACGGTGACGTCATCCGCTGGGCGGCGGCAGCGGCGCCGTGTCCGCCCCAGCCGTCCTTCCCTACTAACATCAACCATGTTTCGGCGGCTCCGCAGCGGTGACGTCACCGGCTGTCCGGCGGGCTGTGAAGCCACCGGCTGTCCCGCGGGCTGTGATCCCAGCAGCACCGGCGTTTATCTCCTATCTTGGGTGCCCCTTACCTGATTTTCCGGATGACTTCCGTGCTGCCTTCCGCGTTATTTCGTTTAATTTTGCAATTGCAGGTGATAAGTGGTCATTCGCAATTTCGCGATTTGCAATGGCTCTCAAGTGCATCCATGGCCTAAAGCATTTTTCAACTTTTAAAGGGACTAGATTTATACTTGAGAGTAGAAAGCAGGCTTCTCGATTACATTTTTCCTGCAACCAGCAGCAGATTCTGAACCCATCATGTGCACCCCAACACCGACAGATTACAAGCTCTCGAAATAATGCCACGTCGTGCTTGATCTTCCACTGCATCGATATGGTCTGGAATTCCGTCATAGCGCGCTTGACGTTATTACTTTCCATTGGGCCAGTGTAAGGGAAAAACTCCGCAGAATTATTGCAGCTTGACTCTTGACTTGACAGTTCTTTGGGCGACGTCGAGTGGCATGGAAAAGTGTGTGGAAGCGTGACTCTCATATGGAGCTAAATGTTATGTTATAATACATGGCGTGAGGCTGAATGTTACAGCTGTTTTCTCACAGGCAACGACATTTTACTCTTTTCATCGCCTTCTTCCCTTCTATACAACCGCCTCTAAACACAAATATCCGATACTGCCTGCACGCACTTGATACACATACACCTGATTTTCTGGAAGCACCAATGGGGATCAAATAGCTAAACCAACGGCTGGTTATTTGGCGAAGCCTGTCATTTATGATGCATACAAGCCCGCATGCGACACATGGCAGTGAATAGAAACGTGCACTGCAGACAATGCGTCCAGTAAGAGGGTCCACATGACCTCTGCGCGGCTTGCCGGCCTCAGCACCGGCACTATGGACGTGAGACGTTTGAAACAGCATGGGGGACCTCTCAAACTGTTTTGCAACAAGCATGAGCAGCCTTCCCTTGGTCTCTTCCGGATTGGCCCCTGCCAAAATTGTACGACCGATACGAGTAAGTGAAGTTTGTACGCATGTGTTTTATTTAAATCGCCGCTGGCCCTGCAGTAGGCAAGAGGAACGTGAAGTCAAGGAACCCAAAAGGTACACCTCTGGTGCTGCTCCGATGAACTGGCCAAACTCGTCATAATGCATGCACCTTGTCTCTGCTTTGGTTGACTTCCATATTTCGTTTCCTTTTGATTTTGCTCTGTTTGGATTGGCTGCTTCTGCTGCCGTACACCATTCGGATTTTCTCTGCTGTTCAGAGTCGGAATCCGAGTCATAAAAACAAAATTGCGCAAATCAAAGCTCGATTCCGGGGGCCGCAACGACCGAGTGGTAAGAACTCTCGGCTCCCACGAGAGGGAGCCGTGTTCGAACTTCAGTTTCGCTGCGACCCCTGAGCGCCAATATGATGATAACAGTTGATGGCGCAGCGTGAAAGGGCGTGCGCCGAAGCACGTCGCACTCCATTGGAAAAAAGGCGAATCGACTCTCTCTGCCGAAACTACCTTTGATTCGAGCCATGCTTCAGCTCCAAACAGGTTGGAGCAAGAATCGATAGCTCGAGAAGAATCGAGCAATCGAGTGAGAAATCGAGCAGAATGAGAATCGTGTCTCCTCAGCAGCTCATTGAACGTCGCACACCTCTGCGCGCAAGATACTCAAATAATCACAACGGCGCGGGCGAAGGGATGTCCTAAAATTCAATCTTCCATGCGCCTTTGAAGACACCTTCACACACACATCTACACATATACACTTTTCCATACATCTTTTTCCATACACCTTTTCTTGAAGTGGCTTCTTACCAAACGTCATCACGAGGTTATTGCTCCACTCCACAGAAAGTGAGCGGGACTCCCTTCACAACCTTTTTCGCCTTTGAGCATACGCCAGACGACTGCCAGCCCACCGCAGGCAGAAAATATAAATAACTAGTTCTAACTGCAATACGGTGGCTTTGCAGGGGTGAGTAGGTGTTGTTAGGGTGCTAAGCGCCGAAGCATCAACAAGCTCGACAGTGTTTGGGCGTGTGTCTCGTTTTGTAAACAAGTAGCTAGCATCCGACGACCACGATTGTTCATCAGCACAAAACCCCACGATTAATGATCATTGCGAAGCATTTTGAGCTGATTATGCGAAAAAATGATTAAGAGCAAGCAGTCCTGTGCTGCCAACGATAAGCCACTGACAGATAGAGCCCGCTCCCGTCGATCCTCTAACCTCCTTCAAAGCTCCTACAAACTAACCAGATTGTTGCCGTGGCTTCTCTAACCTCTCAAAGTTCCTCATAGCTCGCCGCTAAGCTCCGCAACTTCCTCCGAAACGAAAGGTGGTTTTTCGTAGGAGCTTGGAGGAGCTGTGGTAGACATTAGTGGCGCAGTTGACCAACATGCTTTTTGGTTTCATCTGTTGCCACATGACAGAAACAGATGACGAGTGTGTAAAGTGGTGCAGATCGATCAAATAATAAGTAATTTCTTATAGTTTCATATTCATGTAATTATTGCAGTGGTACATATTTACGACTTTTGAGTATACCTTTCAGAAATCTCAGCGCTCAATATCATTCGCCGTCAGTACACCAAAACTGTTCGGCTAACTTGCGCAGTGACAGCTGATGCCTCCTCCAAAATCGGTCCCGCGGCGGCACAATTAACGCAGATTCAAGCGCTCGTCCAAGCTCCTCCAGTCCTATCTCGTCTTTTTTGGAGGAGCGACGGAAACAGACCCATAGACATAGGTCACGGAACCGAACAGACAACGCGTTCGCGACGAATGCATCGGAGCATAAGCACAGCGGAACAAGGGTAAGGCATCAGATCCACTCCTCGTACCAACACGCACCCACAACAGGGATGTCGCGCACGCACACGTACCAAGCTCAATGCTGCGATTCATCCACTACGGCAACCACCACACGGACAGCGTATGAGATCATACTCACAACCAGCATCCAACGTCCCGGGGCAGAAAACGGCACGCACAACACCCAGAGACACACGCCGCACCTACCCAGAACGAGTAGCTCTCGGTGGAGTCCTGCAACGCGCGCGCCGCCTGGCTCAGTCGGGCGTATGGCACGCTGGATGAAGGCACCGGTCTCGGCCCCTGGAGCCAGTTGAACAGCTCGGAGCGGAGCGGCCCCGGTTCCTCGAGCGGCACGTGCGGCGTGGCTGAGGTCGGCCTGCTTGGCGGCTCGCTGGCCTCGGCCATTGCTCGCCTGCAGCAGCACCGCCGCCGATCCCGTCCGCGGCGCAGCGGCGCCACCTCTGACCGGCCGCGGCCGGCGGGCCGGCCGGAAAAACACCCCCTCCCCTCCCCCTGACCGAGCACAGGGGACGGCCCGGCGGCACCCCCGATAATAGGCACGGCCCCAGCCGGCCACCAGACGCCTCTGATTGGCGGGCTCAGACCAGGTCAGGGCAGGGGACGCATCCGGTTCTCCGCGCCAGCGCCGCCGGCGAGGTGTCGCGACAGGGGGAGGGGCGGAGAAGGGACTTGACAGGGGAAGGGGCGGGAAGGGGCTTGAGGCGGCGTCAGGGGACCGGTGTCCGCGGTCCGAAAACGCGGGTGAAATAATCGGAATCCGTCATCTCTGCACTGCGTGAGAGGCGATTGCGGCAGGATCTCATATCCTTTTTCTCACGCCGCATGTGTGTTCATTACTTCACCTAAAAGGCTGCGGCTTGCGTGTACCGATATTCATAAGCTTCAGCAAGTGAGACAGCGATGCTCTGTTATCCAATGTAAAGCGTTCCGATTTCTTGTGCTTGGCACTGAGTATCTACGGACTTCATAACAAAATGAAGCTGCTGATTTCAGCGATGCTGTTTATTTCAGCGAACCAGGTCAGCCGTCTCTATTATCAAACCGTCAAAGTTGCAGCCCCAGACGATGTATTCCAAGGAATCATCACTGCACCGCCGTTGTGAAAACCGCGAAGCTTTGTGCAGTCTTGCACTATCGTGTTGCACCGTCTTGCGAATGGCTCCGCAGCCGCAGTCCCCAAACACACCGCAAAAGAGACGTCTGAAAGCTTACTACCGTATTTTACTATCCTTTATTTATTATTATATTACCATATTATTTTACTACCGTATTTCTGACCGCTGCTGGGGCCGCAGCCTGACCTCCGGTCGGGCCACGTCCCCTCTTGACGTTGCTGCTACCCTCCTCCTCGCCGCAGGTGTTGAAGAACTTGACCTCGCCCTCGTCCTAAACATCGGCGATAAAGCCGGAGTCGCCGCGGACCGAGTAGGAGACGGTTTGGATTCGGCTGTCCGGAAGCACCACACTGTACCGGCCCTGCAACCCCTCGCCTTTGGACTCCTCGGCCGCGCCAAAGTCGCTACCGTGCACGTCCAGTACGTCGTAGCTGAATGGGTACAGCGTGGAAGGCGACGTAGCTCTGGTCTGGGGGTAACCCCCATTGGGTCGCTGACCGCAGCCTCTGTTGCTGAGCTGCTGACTGCAGCTTTCGCTGGACTGCTGACCGCAACCTCCGTTGGACTGCGAGTCGGCGGCAGACCTAGGGTTGACTTGAACGGCTCCCTGTGCGAGTTGAGACCATATCCGGACGAGGAGGATGACGATCCGTACTGGGACTGAGCGCCAGACTGGGCGCCAGACTGGGACTGGGCGCCAGACTGGGCGCCGTACTGGGATGGAGCACCAGACTGGGCACCGTACCGGGACTGGACGCCAGACTGGGCACCGTTCTGGGACTGGACACCAGACTAGGCATCAGACTGGGCGTCGTACTGGGACTGAGCGCCAGACTGGGCGCCAGACTGGGACTGGGCGCCAGACTGGGCGCCGTACTGGGACTGGGCGTCAGACTGGGCACCAGGCTGGGCGCCGTACTGAGACTGAGCAGCCGGACTGGGCGCGGTACTGGGACTGGACGCCAGACTGGGCGCCGATCTGGGACTGGTTAGCAAACTGCCTGTCGACTGCAGCCAGAACGGCCAGAACGGCTACGACAAGAAGCTTCATGCTTGCTGACTGGAGCGGTCAGATCAACTAATGGTCACAAAATGTCGCCGTTATAACGTGTCGCCTCTGGACGGGACCGAGTCCCTACCGAGGTCAGCTGACGCGCCCCCATCATGCACGGCGTACTCCTGGCGATGGCTACTGAAGCAGGCTGCATTTCGCCACCCGGGTCCTCACGGCTGCGCCTCACTGAACTGCTCCTCGTGAAGCGGATAGTCGGGCGTGCAGGAGGAACGCGAGCTTCTCGCTGATCCTGGGCCAATCTGGTGATCATGATCGGCGACGGCCCGGTGACGGCGGCGCCACGGTGCGGGGCGTCCCTGGCTCGCCATCCATTCACGGACTCGGAGGCTCCGTCGGCGCGGCTCTGCCAAGTGCTTACCAGGCTAGACCAGGGCTGACCACTGACACTCTTGTGTTTCACTAAGTAAGAACAGGGGTGACCACTGACACTCTTGTGTTTTAAGTGTTTGCGGTATCTGGACGTGGAAACTTGAAAATGGCATATCGGCGCGGATGGTAACGCAGGCTTGTTTGCTCGGAGGATCAGCTTTCATATAAACTACTTCACATGGTCTGCAGAGCAGTGCAGATCAGCTCCGCACCGTTGTTTTGCTAACTTGCATATCTGCCGTCTTTTCTCAACACTTGACAATGTAAAAATTTAGTTGAGACTAGAGCTTCTCTCCGCTGTTTTTGTACCTTCTATTATGTTCCGGCCTAAATATTCTGATTACAGGTAGTAGATATTGGGGGTGGGGGGAGGGGGAGCGCAAAGATAGAAGCGCCATATAACCCGACAATGCATCAGCTTTGCATCGGCTTGCTTGACGGGCGTCAGTTGAGCACTTCGTAGATGTTCTGATCAGTCCAATGTTTCCACTCGGTAACATTACGCTCATTTGCACGCATTTTGCGGCGTGGAATGAACAAAATATGATGGCATGTAATCATCACGACGCAAATGACACCTAAACTAAGGGAAGGGCTCGCGATCATTAAGAGCACACATGGATAGGAACTATCGATGCGCTGGAACCTCGCCAATGCCAAGACCTGGCAATTTTAATCAGCAAGGGGAATGAATGGGAAATATTTTGCACGCTTGGTGAGAGCGACGAAGCTATTGCACACCAAGACTAAGATGCCACAAAGATTGGCTACCACAGCGGGCTACCGCTAGCTTGTTTTTCGTGTCGGCGACTAGCCGGCCCGCAGCCTATTTTGTGAACAGCTGATGGCTAATAATTAAAGCAGACTCCCAGAATTAGTCTGATAGCTGGAGGCATGGTACAGAATACATCGCTATGTTTTCAGTATTGAGCCGAATCAGTTCAAATTATGTAAAGATCCTGTGAACAAAATTAATGCTCAAGGTTTTGATAACTTTCTTTAATGTCTGTCAGGAGTGAGAAACCTTATCAAGGCAGTTGTCAAATAGTGTAACAAAGAACAAGTTGGATGGGTAAAATCTCCCTACACTGTGCAATTCGTAAGCTTGGATAATGACCATCACAAATCCTAGCAATCATACGCTGTCCCAAAGACAAACAATGCTGTCGCCTTGCTCGGCTGTTGTCGCTTTTTATACTGTTTTCGCATCAATGAAAGACTTTTCCCTGTCATACGTAAAGACTTTTCAATAGAAGGTAAGTTAACAGGTACGTGATTTAGTCACATTGATGAAGTATGGTAAGCATAAAGCCCAAATGAAGTTTATGTGGTCTTGTTAGTGCCTGATGGAAGCGCTAATCGTGATCGAATAGCTAACGCGGCATCTAGGTATGCAAAATTAATCGTTCAAATCGCTGTGCGTGTCATGTCAACAGCTCTCCGGCCTTCCCACAATGGGCGGGTCCCCCCCCCCCCCCCTGCGGCTAGCCGGCGGAGCGGCGTCCAACCGGCGGCTGGAACAAACTGTGGTCGCAGTAAGTAAAAACTATGTGACCGTGTAGCTTTTAGTGGCCCGCATTGCCTTGTTCCGGGTCACAGCATGTGCATTTGGGGCCAGTTTGGGAAAAGTGGCATCGGGGACTTTCCCGTCTGATATTGGTGCGCTTATGGATCAGGCAGTGCTGAAACAGGCTGGAATGTTCGCATGTGTCGTATAGCTAGCTTCACGTCTTGATTTGATTCACTTGTCGAGACCTGATACCGATCCCTTAAATACCTGAAGACGGGTGGATCCGTGGTTGTCGCACAATGGCGCGTGAGAGTCTGCACGCATTAATCTTGAGTTTTGTCAGTGCGATTGTCAGTTTCTGCTCAGTCAGTATTAGCTTGCCTTGCCTCAGTGCGACACCTGGCCGCCAAGATCCGGGCATTGCTCTTTCGCGAGCGGTCCCTATTTTTCTGTTGCGATCCTTATTTTGTATTTTTCTGCTACATGGAGCGCGACTCCTTCGTACATAAATACATGCATGGTTTTAAGTCAGAAAGAGGGGCAGCGTGAGGCGTGACATGCGGTGTCTGGACGGAGCCTTTAGATTGTTTCACCACTTGCTGAACTGTGTGGAATCCGAAGCGTTACATCACGCCAGGAAGCACAGAGCGGAACGGTTCTTTTCTCATATAATCAGAATCCTTGAGCGGTGTCTTAGCTACCCATTTGAAATCAGAGCATTCCTTAGTGGATGAAATCTTACGGCAGTTAGTAGCTCTAAAGGAGCCAAAAAGCACATGCCTTTTTGGGTGTCCGGACACATGAGGCTAGTTGAGAATGAAAGAGTTGACGCTGCTGCAAAAGGGGGCGCGGGCGGTCCTCCACCTTGCTTCGTCCAAGTGCCATGCTCAGGTTTCAAGCGGTTGGTATCTGCGCGTCTGGCAAAAAGCTGGCAACAGGCTTGGGACCAGGCGAGCACAGATCCCCGACCGTGACGCGAAAAACAAACTCCAAGCAATGAAAGACGCGTTGGGTGATTGGTCGTCCTCCCACCGCGACAGCAGAAAGGAGGCAGTCACCCTTTGTCGCCTCCGTTTTGGCCATGCGCACGGAACACACGAATTTCTTCTGCCAGGTCAAATGTCAACGTGTTCTCGGTGTGATCGCCCTCTGTCAGTCGCTCATATCCTTGTGCAGTGTCGCCACCTGGAAGCTGAGCGTCATGATAACTTTGGCTCTCACTCGCGGCCAACACTGTCTCTATGCTCCTTCATTGGGAAGGAACTAAACAATGATGCGATGATTGCTTTA